ACAGAGAGACAGAGAGACAGAGAGACAGAGAGACAGAGAGACAGAGAGACAGAGAGACAGACAGACAGACAGACAGACAGACAAACAGATAGATAGTCAGATAGTCAAATAGTCAGATAGTCAGATAGTCAGGTAGATAGATAGGATAGGATAGGATTGGATTGGATTGGGTTGGATTGGATTGGATTGGATTAGATTAGATAGATAGATAGATTAGATAATTAGATAGATAGATAGACAGATAGATAGATAGATTGATCCATAGATAGATAGATAGATAGATAGATAGTTAGGTAGGTAGGTAGATAGATAGATAGTTAGGTGTAATGCAAACGACAATGAGTCCAGGTGTAATGGCAACTCCGTTTCATGGTTTCATGTGTATTTTGACGTATTTTGCACTGCCAAATCCGACAGAAATGGATGGGAATAGAACAACAAATGATCTCGCAGCCTGTCGCCATGAAATATGCAACAAAAACCGTATTTGTTGCTTTCAACTCACTTCCTCCCATTAGGTCCATTCGAAAGATTGCACTGGTTCCATGAAGGGCTGCATTGCCCCGCGTTACCCCCACATTTTCCCACGTTGCGCCTCTAGTTCCAAACATCGGAAGAGTTCAAGCCTATGTTTTGCTAAAAGTTCGTCGACCTGGGTTCCAGCAACGCAGTGGCAACCGCACACGCACTTCAACTAGCATAATCATAGCTAGTACGCATTGACATGACATGGAAACTGAAGGAACACGCTGTTCCAAAAATCCAGCGTGAAACAAATGACTGCGTCTCCGTGCCTCGTGAGACAAAACTTTCCTTCCTCGCTCTTCCGCGGCCTCTCTTTCAAGTTTTTTGCATGAATTCAAAAGACTGACATGAAACCATGCGCGCACACGGAAACATGTTATTTGTGTCAATTCGCACCCACATTTATCATTGGCAACACGGATCAAAGTTTTCGTTTGACAGCAGAAATCCCGAATTTCAATGAATTTCAAGCATGTCAAGGACAACTGATTCACGACACATATACCGACACTGCGAGCTTGTGGCCTGCATGGGAACGACCAGCGGCCCAACAGCTTGAATTGACCTCCCTTTTTGGAACTTGCACTTGGGCCAACGCATCCGGGCAAGAACAGCAGAACAGGCAAGAAAAGAAGATGTGAAGTGCCCAGCCCAACATCACACCACAATTGTCAATCCACCATCCGTGCAAAAGCCCGCGCAGTTGCGTGGCATTTAAAATATGTAAGTGCTCCACTTGGATCCATTTGGTAAGAAGGCAGCAAAATTGAAAGTTCCGAATCCCGAACCTGCCATGAAACAATACAAATAAGGTGCAGTTTTTGCACTTTGCTTCAGCCACGGCCGTCCTTTACACGTTCCCCTTTACATACGCGCGCTGGAAGCGCTGGACGCGCTGGAAGCGATTGTGTTCAACAAACTGACAGCTGGCGACACCTTCTGTGCCTTGGACCGCTTGTCGTAAGTGGATTGCTGCTGTTTCACGCTGTGCCCCATGTACAAGGCTAAGCGTTCCAGCTGCTTGTATGAAACATCTTGGGAGCGAACATGCGTTACAACCATGTCTCGAACAAGGTGGGGATTTACTGCCTTTCCTGCGACCCGCCGCATTGCTTGTGTAAGCAAGAACCAAATATCATCCCCGTTAAAATTACAGGGTCTAGGTCGTTAACACAATTTGTAGGTATATTCCAGGATTCACAACCTAGGTGATCTATAAAAAAAACCGCACAACCTCAGTTGAAGCTCTGCATAAAGCAATACCAACCCAGATTCAGCCTCTACAAAAAGAGCCTGATTTTCTTATCCAATACCCTGCATCCCCCTTGGTCACTGCTCTTGTTGGGTTGGCTAAAAAAGACTTAGCTTTTTCTTATTTTTCTACAAAAAGAAGGTGGGATTTAACACCAAGGTCAATGACAAGGGCACCTTTTGCTACAATAAAAAAGCGGGGGACTACGAACCACGTACAATATAAACATATTATTCCTCATATATAACTATATATATAATACAGATTATAACAGTGTCTCACCGACGCACTATGACTGTTTGCTCTGATAGAGCACTATTCTAATAGTGTAGCATTGAGGCTTGGGATCAACCTCAGCAAATCTGAGTCTGGAAATGCTTGGGCGCTATTGTTTACGGAGAAATCCAGAATTTGTCTCACCTATTATCACCTTCACTAAGATGCATTACGTACCAATATTTTTTAAAAATATATCTATACTTTAGTCAAATCAATGATCGTCAAGGCGACCAGGATTCCAATTCCACCAGCAATGCCAGCGCGTGTTGCCAGCGACCAGCCTTCTCACAAGCACTGATCGCCTGAGGTCAAAAGTTTATCTGGGGAAATTTCCAACAGTTTAAGATTGTAAAACACCTTCCACACTCTACGGTAGCAAGTCGCTTGTTGGCCTCTGGGACACACTAATGTCGGCCCTTAGCAACAGTATGTTCAAGTGGCGGAGAAAACTTCTTTAGACTGGCTCATTATATCTCATTATCTAATGTGGACCTTGATGAATCGCTTCACCATGGGGTCTCCAACGTACGTTTTGCAGCCCATTGTTTTGTTCGATGTAGTCCTTTGAAGGCAAGGTCCATTTTGGCCTGACATACCATGTTTGGCCCAAGCAACTGCAAGGCTGCCGCTGCGAAGCTGACTTTTTCATCAACATTTGTTGGCTGCGTTGTCTCCCGACATCTCCGGTTGACTTCTGCTTCGGTAAACCATGGCTCGTAAACTATGCTTCGTAAACCATGACTCGTAAAACATGGCACGTAAACTATGCTTCGTAAACCAAATGTAGGAATTCATGCATTGTGAACGACGCGTCGACCATCGGATGGGTGGATTGGAGCAGCTGCCTTTTTCTCGGGGGTGGGATTTTGATATGACGTGTAAGATGAGACTGTGCATGTACTTGCCAGAGGGGGTGGGATTTTCATATGACGTGTAAGATGAGACTGTGCATGTACTTGCCAGAGGGGGTGGGATTTTCATATGACGTGTAAGATGTGACCTTGCATGTACTTGCCAGAGGGGGTGGGATTTTGATACGACGTGTAAGATGAGACTGTGCATGTACTTGCAAGAGGGGGTGGGATTTTCATATGACGTGTAAGATGAGACGGATTTTGATATGACGTGTAAGATGAGACTGTGCATGTACCTGCCAGAGGGGGTGGGATTTTCATACGAACCGTAAGATGTGACTTTGTATGTGCTTGGCTTGCCAGAGGGGGTGGGATTTTGGTCGTGTAATGTAAGATGTGACTGCGCATGTACTTGCCAGAAGGGGTGGGATTTTGATATGACGTGTAAGATGAGACTGTGCATGTACTTGCCAGAGGGGGTGGGATTTTGATATGACGTGTAAGATGAGACTGTGCATGTACTTGCCAGAAGGGGTGGGATTTTGATATGACGTGTAAGATGAGACTGTGCATGTACTTGCCACAGGGGGTGGGATTTTGATATGACGTGTAAGATGAGACTGTGCATGTACTTGCCAGAGGGGGTGGGATTTTGATATGACGTGTAAGATGAGACGGATTTTGATCCGACGTGTAAGATGAGACTGTGCATGTACCTGCCAGAGGGGGTGGGATTTTCATACGAACTGTAAGATGTGACTTTGTATGTACTTGCCAGAGGGGGTGGGATTTTGATATGACGTGTAAGATGAGACTGTGCATGTACTTGCCAGAGGAGGTGGGATTTTGATATGACTGTAAGATGAGACTGTGCATGTACTTGCCACAGGGGGTGGGATTTTGATATGACGTGTAAGATGAGACTGTGCATGTACTTGCCAGAGGGGGTGGGATTTTGATATGAACCGTAAGATGTGACTTTGTATGTGCTTGCCAGAGGGGGTGGGATTTTGATCGTGTAATGTAAGATGTGACTGTGCATGTACTTGCCAGAGGGGGTGGGATTGTGATATGACGTGTAAGATGAGACTGTGCATGTACTTGCCACAGGGGGTGGGATTTGGATATGACGTGTAAGATGAGACTGTGCATGTACTTGCCAGAGGGGGTGGGATTTTGATATGACGTGTAAGATGAGACTGTGCATGTACTTGCCAGAAGGGGTGGGATTTTGATATGACGTGTAAGATGAGACTGTGCATGTACTTGCCACAGGGGGTGGGATTTTGATATGACGTGTAAGATGAGACTGTGCATGTACTTGCCAGAGGGGGTGGGATTTTGATATGACGTGTAAGATGAGACGGATTTTGATCCGACGTGTAAGATGAGACTGTGCATGTACCTGCCAGAGGGGGTGGGATTTTCATACGAACTGTAAGATGTGACTTTGCATGTACTTGCCAGAGGGGGTGGGATTTTGATATGACGTGTAAGATGAGACTGTGCATGTACCTGCCAGAGGGGGTGGGATTTTCATACGAACCGTAAGATGTGACTTTGTATGTGCTTGGCTTGCCAGAGGGGGTGGGATTTTGGTCGTGTGATGTAAGATGTGACTGCGCATGTACTTGCCAGAGGGGGTGGGATTTTGATATGACGTGTAAGATGAGACTGTGCATGTACTTGCCAGAGGGGGTGGGATTTTGATATGACGTGTAAGATGTGACTTTGCATGTACTTGCCAGAGGAGTGGAAATTTGATATGACGTGTAAGATGTGACTTTGTATGTGCTTGCCAGAGGGGGTGAGTTTTGGTTGCTGAGGTTTGGTTGCTGAAGCGAGAGTAGATTTTGGTTGCTAAAGCGTAGTTGCTGAAGCGAGAACCTAGTTTGGTTGCTGAGCCGTGGTTGCTGAAGCGTAGTTGCTGATCCGTAGTTGCTGAGGTGTGGTTGCTGAAGCGTAGTTGCTGAGCCGTAGTTGCTGAGCCGTAGTTGCTGAAGCGGAGTTTAATCCGACAGCTCCCGACCGTCTATCGATCGCCTATCGACTACTCAGCTAAGTAGTACATCGACTACTCAGCCAGCATCTCAGCAGCAGCTTCGGCATCAGCTTCATTGCCACTGTTGCAAACGTCGAAGACGCAGTCAGCAAAAGCCTATGGAAATCCATTTGGACTCAAATGGTTGGCTACAGGCCACAAAACATAAATATCATTAAACATCAATAAATTATAGAATCTGTTTGTCCTTGCCCCTCTCGTCAATTCTACTGATTCTACTGTAAGTCTTGTCGTGGAATCTTTTAACAAATGCCGGCCTCTGATTCCTCAAGGTGCTTTGCACAAATCCGCTCGGCTTCACTGCAACTTTTCTGCGTCAAGGAGACTCCGGCTCCAGCTTGCATCCTGGTCTTCAAATAAGAGTCTGCCTCTTCACTGCCGCCCAAAGTCAACCACGCCGTTGGGACCTCACCCGGATATATCAGGATGACCGATCTACTGAACACATCCCCTGTTTTGGTTTCCCATGGTTTCCCCTGTTTTGTTTTATACAGCCCGGAACTCCAGCCTCAAACTCAGAGTCTGTCTTCATGTTGACCATGTGCTTGGACGAGAGGAAGCTGACTTGTTTCTCTGCGCGGTGTTTGGGAGCTCCCAACTCACCTCCCACATGATCAAGATCATCTTGATCGTACATGCGCACTATGAAGTCCAGGCGATCGCCTGGCTTGCAGTGAGTCACAAGTTTTGCCACACTGTTCGTTTGGTCTTCCTCTTTCATCTTCAATTTCATCACGGATCCAGTGTGAAGATGGCCCTTGATGGTCCTGTTCAAGTCAATCACCTCCACATATGAGGGACGGTCCTCTCCATTAACACCCACCGTAGCATTGTGCCATTCACCTCCTGGCTGTCTTCCACGCCATTGGCAATCCTTTGCCGTCAGCTCCATGACGCTATGTGTGTGGTCAATGAGCAGCAGCCCCGCAGTGGTGAACCTGGCCCCAGAGTAGGAGGCCAAGAGTTGCCACTCCACTGGTGCTTGGATACCCGAGTTGAAGCTCGTCTTCCGGAAACTCCAGGCCAAGAATGTGCCTTGCTTCAGGAGGGTATAATGATCCCCACGCAGTGTCGTAATGTGAGGATCACCTGTGACAGGCCCCGAGGAGCTGCAGAAGCAGATCCTTCGGCCGTATTTGTTTGTTTCGTTGGCTCTCTTTGCGTCACAGCTGCTGGCCGTCTGTTGCTCTACAATTTGAATTGGCTCAAATTGACCCTCTTCACTAAGGATCCTTTCATAGAGCACAAACGGAGCATAACGAAGATCCGCAAAGGCGACGTTGCGATCCGCCGTGCGGGTCACGACCCCGAAACACTCAGAGACGAGTCGCCTCCAGCCATTAAATAGTTTCCTGCTCATCTTCTCTATGGACTCCGCAGTGCAAAGGTCTGCTCCACAAGTGTCAGAGCAGTCGGTACCTGTGCGTAGAGCTGGCAGATGCTGGACAAAATGGGCGCTCAGAAATCAACCCTGCAAACTGCAAACGTCTCTAGCTGCAATGCTGGTCAATTATGCAGCGTCCTACAACTCTTGATCTACATCAAATGCATTGAACATTTAAGAATGCAGGCTGTATGCATACAAACAACTTCTTTTAACACAACATCATACTACGGATGAAAGTAATTCAGAGCACGAGACAACCAGGAAGTCGGCAGTGATCTAAACACATTCCCACCATGCCTGGAGCAGCTAGCACCCAACCATCGCAATCTATCGCTTGCGTCGCACCAGCTTTCATTTGCACCATGGACGATGCGTCGCAACGACCCTCATCGTGGCAACTCTGGTCATACCCAGAGGCGACGGCGAACAGCAGCCACAAAATCATGGCCAGCAAAAATTCCTAGAAAGTACAGGGCTATCAGTGTGAGATCCTGCAGAAATGGCTAATGACATCTTTTGTACATCTGCAAGCCACACCCAAAATGCTTTCTGCTTGAAATAGCTTGGCATGTCTAAGGCTCAAGCCTATCCCCATGGTTTTAAAACACAGAAAGATAGACGGACACAGAGTTCGACCACAACTGGCATCTACTCCTGGACGGGTACCTACCAATCACACATTTCCTCACATTTCTATAGCATCATCCCGGAATCATTTTCTTGAAGGCAGTGGCATGCTGAAGACATCCAAACGTTGGCGTTTCAATGCTCCAACTGCTGCCACATCACACAGTCACCACGTGATGACGTTTGGATGCTGCATCGCCTCCAACAAGGAGATGGCCAACGGCCAAGCGCTGGCTGGTACTCACCTCACAAGGCCATGGATCAGGATCCATTGAGGGGTTGATGATGATGATGGTGATGATGATGTTGATGATTATTATTATTATTTCAAACATCCCAAAATTGGAGTTGGAAGAAGTTTACAAGTGTCATCCACTATCAAATAATTACTGGTCATATTCAGATATCAGCATGAGTAAAAGCTACAAACCATAGGTGATGTCAGTGATGTACACACCCTCTCTTTAAACTTTAGACTTTGACCAATTATCAATTAGAGGTTGTGGAGGCTCACAGATGCTGACGCTGGGTGGCAGTTGCGTTGTGACCAGCTTTGGTTGCAGCTTCCTGGGGCAACATTTTCAGCTGAAAGAGGATCAAGTTATGGGATTTACCGTCCCGATAGATGGACATAGATGGACCAAAGGTGCCAAGGTTTTCACTGGCCCATACCTGTAGATTCATGAAAAAATCGAGGGAGTTGCGAACAGCAACAAATCTTTTTCAAGTGGACATCCACCTTTGACATGTGTTCCGTTTCACATGTTCCTCATGTTGTGTGCGCTCTTCCCACCGTTTACGTGGTGCTTTGCTGGAACTCCCCTGGCCAAAGACAAGAAACTGTTTTCCAATTCTGGTGAAGATGGATTAGGCTGGACAACCAATATCAACTCAACAAATTGATTTTTGGCCTCAGAGATGACAGGAACACAGCCTTTCGGCAGAGATAAAACTTGGTCCAGTCCTGACAGCCAAGTCATTGAGCAAGCGCAAAGCCACTTGAGGTCTGCAACTGCTGATCGCAGCCTCAAATTGCGCGTGCGAAACGCATGCTGCGGCTGTCAGGTTCACATATACATATATAATATTTATCTTATTGTAGTATGTATATGTATGTATGTATATATATATGCATACAAACATACATACCCTGAAACACCGTGTGGAGCAGGCTACATAGGAGTACATCAGACCTGCATACTGATGTAAGAAGTTGTCCAACTATACAGGCTAGATACCAACATTAAACATGTCTACTGTCTACAACAAACAAAGTGGATCTTAGAGGCCTTCCCTCACAAACTGAAATGAATCAATACCAAGGACCAACTCATGTGGCAGCTTCAAAAGCGAAGCCAACATGTTTGACACATCTCTTGGGACTTTCTCAGGTCAACCTTCTTTTCATGATCGAATCGGGAATCTTGGCCTTTTATGGCCCTCACCAAGCTGCGCTGCTCTGCAGATCTGCTGGCATCTGTTCGACGCTGACCGCGTGGATGAGGCCCTGACACGGCATGGGAGCTGCGAGATTCCACCACAAATATACCGGATATACCAGCTGCCGATGGGTCAGGTCAGTCTCATCATTCTCAACACACATAAAGACACACACACATATGATTTTCATTGATTTTCGTCACAATACTGGTGATAAATTAATCAAAATGATGATAACGTACTCATGGGAAATTAGATAAAACTAAAAAACAAAAACACACAGGAACGTGCAACAACCTAAGAAACCACATCTGGCCAAGCAAGTACCAATTGAGAGAGTTGGTTTAATGATAACATAACTCCCCAAAGAATGTTTCAGTGGCACTCAAGGTTGTTTGATTGCATCATTGCATACATGTACAAACCTAATAAACAAGCCTTTTCGATTGTTTTGCATCTTTTGAAAAAAATCACCAACCTTCCCGTTGGTTCAAACATAATCCCCAATCATGACGGTGATAACGTGTGACAACGCCATTTTGACTGCTTACTAGTCACCATGTGACGCTGTTGCACAATAAACCATTTTGGCGGTATTGCAAACTAAAACCAGATTTCGCTCACTCACAAGTTACAAAGATGTTGAGTTACAAAGATGTTGAAGGTCTTACCAAATCAAAATAAACATAGACAAACCATGTCTCAACTTTTTGGGGCAAATTTTCCCTATGTCAAGTTCCCCAAAATCCCAGGCACATGAGCACCACATTGGTCTCGATCCCTTGCTGCTGCGCCGCTTTCCAAAAAGATAGAGACATATTATTCTTGTTGGTGACGCGTGCAGTGGAAGGAAAAAACTCGAGGAAATTCATGCCTTACTCAATTTTACCATCCAAGGACTGAGTTCATCCCGCAAATCGGCCAAAGATGATCAAAAGATGTACCACCTGTCAAATTCAAAGGAAGTCTCGCAGAGAACGGTAGTTTTCAAGATTGCAACTTCAAATTTGGAGAAAGTCTCGCAGAACAGCTTCGTTTTCAACTTTCGTTGGGCGAACGACAGATGGATGGATGGATGGATGGATAGATAGATAGATAGATGGATAGATAGATAGATAGATAGATTAGATACTGTAGATAGATAGATAGATAGATAGACAGATAGATAGATAGATAGATAGAAAGATAGAAAGATAGAAAGATAGATAGATAGATAGATAGATGGATAGATACTGTAGATAGATAGATAGATAGATAGATAGATAGATAGATAGTGTAGATACTGTAGATACTGTAGATACTGTAGATACTGTAAATACTGTAGATACTGTAGATACTGTAGATACTGTAGATAGATATATAGATAGATAGATAGATAGATAGGTAGATAGATAGGTAGATAGATAGGTAGATAGATAGATAGATAGACAGATAGACAGACAAACAGACAGACAGATAGATACAATCTATCTATCTAATCTAATCTGTCTAATCTAATCTAATCTATCTAATCTAATCCAATCCAATCCAATCCAATCCATCTATCTATCTATCTATTTGTCTATCTATCTATCTGTCTGTCTATCTATCTATCCATCCATCCATCCATCTATCTATCTGACTATCTGACTATCTGACTATTTGACTATCTGACTATCTAACTATCTATCTGTCTGTCTGTCTGTCTATCTATCTACAGTATCTATCTATCTATCTATCCATCTATCTATCCATCCATCTATCTATCTATCGATCTATCTGACTATCTGACTATCTGACTATTTGACTATCTGACTATCTGACTATCTATCTGTTTGTCTGTCTATCTATCTACAGTATCTATCTATCTAGATAATTAGATTGATAGATAGATAGATAGATAGATTAGATTAGATTAGATTAGATTAGATTAGATAGATAGATAGATAGATAGCTAGCTAGATAGCTAGCTAGCTAGCTAGATAGATACATAAATAGATAGATAGACAGATAGATAGATAGTTAGGTGTAATGCAAACGACAATGAGTCCAGGTGTAATGGCAACTCCGTTTCATGGTTTCATGTGTATTTTGACGTATTTTGCACTGCCAAATCCGACAGAAATGGATGGGAATAGAATAGAATACAAATGATCTCGCAGCCTGCCGCCACGAAATATGCAACAAAAACCGTATTTGTTGCTTTCAACCTCTCACTTACTCCCACTAGGTCCATTCGAAAGATTGCACTGGTTCCATGAAGGGCTGCATTGCCCCGCGTTACCCCCACATTTCCCCACGTTGCGCCTCTAGTTCCAAACATCGGAAGAGTTCAAGCCTATGTTTTGCTAAAAGTTCGTCGACCTGGGTTCCAGCAACGCAGTGGCAACCGCACACGCACTTCAACTAGCATAATCATAGCTAGTACGCATTGACATGACATGGAAACTGAAGGAACACGCTGTTCCAAAAATCCAGCGTGAAACAAATGACTGCGTCTCCGTGCCTCGTGAGACAAAACTTTCCTTCCTCGCTCTTCCGCGGCCTCTCTTTCAAGTTTTTTGCATGAATTCAAAAGACTGACATGAAACCATGCGCGCACACGGAAACATGTTATTTGTGTCAATTCGCACCCACATTTATCATTGGCAACACGGATCAAAGTTTTCGTTTGACAGCAGAAATCCCGAATTTCAATGAATTCCAAGCATGTCAAGGACAACTGATTCACGACACATATACCGACACTGCGAGCTTGTGGCCTGCATGGGAACGACCAGCGGCCCAACAGCTTGAATTGACCTCCCTTTTTGGAACTTGCACTTGGGCCAACGCATCCGGGCAAGAACAGCAGAACAGGCAAGAAAAGAAGATGTGAAGTGCCCAGCCCAACATCACACCACAATTGTCAACACTGGGTTTTTCAGCACTTGAACGATTTTAAAGGCATTGTGGATCCTCAAAGTCAAGCTGCACACGCCCTTTTTTCCCTTCTTTGAGGTCTGTAAGGAATGGTGTCTTTTTTGAATCTATGGTGGCCAAGTGAAAAGCTGCAAGCCAACACCTAAGGTCAACACTTCTTCCAAGACTTGTGATACCACTCTTGTTTGCATAAAATTGAACCTCCACCAGCCAAAGCCGAAAATGTTGCCATGCAGCTGATGCATTCGACCAGGGCGTGCAGGTCATTGCGACCAATCAAACTATGCAGCGGAAGACATCGGGAGCAATGGGAGCAGCCATTTGCATCATTGGTATCATTCGTTCTAGAGTCCGAAAACTGTTCCTTTCACGCAGATCCCATTTAGATCCATTTAGCTGTATAGAGCCTTGAATGAGCCAACGTTCCATTTCTGTAATTTCATCCTTTCACTGAATTGTGAATCTGCTGTTCCCTATGGAGAAGTTTAAGCAATCGGAGCAGTGCACCCTCAAGCTGTTTCGATTGATGCGATTGAGGCACTCTGGCCACTTTCGCCTCAGGTGCATCAAAACGGAAAGGTGCAACACTGCAGAAGTGTGCCGGAAACAACTTGATGTTGTAGGTGCCAATTATGTTGGAACTTGTTGTGCCCACTGAATTTGTACGTGCAAAGGATCCATGGTTCAAAGCAAGCAAAATATTCACCATGAAAATGCGCACGAGTATGCCGCGTGAACTGCAAATTGTACATGCATTGTGCTTGCTCATGCTGAAAAAAACTCAAGTGGCATTTGCTCAGAGCGTACGTCGAGCAAGTCGAGCAAGTTGAAGTTGAAGAGACGCTCAAATCGCTCTTCATTGCCGTCATCGGTTTCGCTTCATTCGTGTCATCATTTGTCTCTCCCCACAACCTCAGCAATGTGTGGGGGATGCTGGGGAGGATGCCGGGGGGCGGGTGTCATTCCACCAGTACCGCTGAATTTGAAGGCAATTCTAGCAAGGAGATGCAAGGAGGATGGTTGTGGTTTACATTGTTGGTTTGGGCGTGGTGAGTTGTATGTGTGTTTGTGATTTGTCTCCAACATAATTGCAGGGTTTGGAGTTGTTTGAGACAACCATCTGACAAGAGGCTCATTGCAAAGTAGTGCAGCCATGATGAAAAGGCCACCTCAGTTGAAATATGTTGAAATGATTATCAAGGATAACAATATGATGACAAAGTGTTGCCAAACGAACTTCAGCATGGGAAGCATGAAGCAAAAGTTCAAACAGCGAGAAGGTTATGCAAAGTCTGTGGCCCAAGCCGACACAGTCGCCAAGCGAAAAAGTCTCACCAATACAGCACACGGCTGCCACTGCCGCGAACAAAGGCTCTGTCGTGACAATCAGCGAGACCTCAAAGCATGGCACCAACCAAAACAGACAAATATTGTAAACTTAAGTCATGATGACCCATTAAGATCATTAAGGATCAATGTAAGTAAGGAGAGTTGTGAAAGAAACAGGCAGCAGACTGTCGCTAGAGGTCTTACTCCATTTGTTCCCTGGTGTTCCCTTCCCCATCTTCCACATTGCACCAAACATATATATATATATCTATTATAAATTATGTCATTCATATATTTTGATATTATTTGATCACTGGGTTCCTGACATCTGAAACTGGGAGATGTCGACAGGCCACGTTGGCGGCCAACATGGTGAGTAGGTTTCCGAAGATCGATGCGAAAAGCAAGGGACACAGGAGATTCGGCGTCCGTAGGAGCTCCGGCAGTTGCTGGAGCTGCCGAAACCAATGAATTCCCAAAGATCCCAAGGATCCCAAGGATCCCAAGTTGCTCGATCCGATTTCTTGCCCTTGATATCCTTGATCTTGATCATAATGATCATAATCCTTGAGGAGCCAAAGTGCAAAAATTAAGGTGAACACTGCAAATTGGATCACCACTGATGGAATGAAGTCGTTGGGGTATTTCTTCATGTTCTTGTCCAACACATACCAACCGATGCCTGGCACCCAGAAGCGCATACGTATTTCGCTGGTGCGAACGTGTCAGTGAGTCTTGGTCATGGCATCTTGAGCATCTCTATGCATCTCTGTGTGTGCGTGTGCGTAGTAATGCTTACGCATATGAAATGATATCCGATAAATATCCAATGTATTCCTCAATGTCATCATATTTTCTCTGCAATGCAATGCCATTTGATGCCATTTGTTTATGTCTTTTCTTCATTTGTTTCCATCTGCAGTCCAAATTCCGCACCTACGCCGATGGGCGCAACCATGCAAACAGCATCTCCCATGGTCGGGTCTAGTGCGCCGTTCAACTCAATGAAGGCCACTCCAAGAACGGCCAGGAGTGCTGAGAAGATAGTGCCTTGGCATCGACTACTGGCATCGACTACAGCCTATTAACACAAGTGACATAAGCCATAAGCTTAGGCTTGGCATGGCTTAGCCAACATCAGCCTATGGGAAGCATTGTAAAATCATGTAAAATCACATTTCGGAAGACTTCTAGGTCGGTAAAGATCATATACCAATTCATATACCCATATATACCCTATCTTCACAGCTAACCACGCAAAAGGGCAACACAAATTGTGCACAGGTACCAAGTTGTAGCCGCCCGGCCACTATGGAGGTACATGCAGCCACCACCACAGACTGAAGTGATGTGATGAAAGCGGCTTTTGCTCCAGTTGTCCCAAGAGTGTAAGATACAAAGGTACACGCATAGGAAGTACCCCAAATGAGTCCCACCAGAAAACTCATGGCTGCACTTTCCAGGGAGCTGGAGCGGCCCAACCATGGTAGCAATGGAAATGCTGCCAAGGCAAATCGCAAGAAGCCAAAGACTGCACCTGGGTTGCGAACATCAGCAGCTTTCAAAGCATCGATTCCGGACTTTGTTCCAATGAATGTAGATCCCCAACATGCCGAATTCAAAATCATCACCGCTTTCCAAAAGAGTGTGACTTTGCTCCACCGCACACCGGTTGATCCAGTTGCAGTCGCTTCAGATTTGCCTTGCGACAGTTCTTGCAGTCGCACGATTGTCACAGGCAGCTTGACCTTCGGCACTTCAGGGGAGCGAAGCAATGCACGTGCAGCACGTGCAGCACGCGCGGCACGTGTGGCACCTGTACCTCTTGTGCCCTCTTGGCTTCTTGTTCCAGATGAACGACGGAAGATAAAGACCAAGAGGCAGAGAATTGGAAGCCCCACCACTGGGCCCAAACGGCCAAAGAGTGTGAGGGCTGCAAGGCCAATCACAAGGCCTATAAGAGAAACCAAGATGTTTGAACATGTTGAATTCGAACCAGGTATTTGGTTCCTGTGCATCGTGCAATGTGCACAATTAGAACAGATCTGGTTTCAGATCTGGGGTCCAGTTGAAACCCTGACCCTTGAGCCAAGCGGTGGCGTTACCATCATCTTATCCATCAAATATCATCAAATATCCATCTCCATACTATTTGGATGGAATATGATGGAATGCTATCCAATTTGATCCAATTTGTGCAATTTGTATCCACTCTCATCCAAACAACTCGTGGCACACAAGAATTGCTCAGCAAATCTCAGCATCGAAAGATATCCAAAGTACCTACGTGATCCTACGTGCCAGTGCCGGTCTTTTCGCTTCTGCTGTTTCACAGTGTCACTCGCTGTGCCTGTGTCTCAGCTCGAAAGACATACCTTAAAATATAGAAATGCCCCAGGAATCAGTGCGAAGGTGGCTGACACGAAAACACGTAGAATATCGTAGAATATCGTTGAATACGTAGTGGTCACGACCCAGGTTTTTTGTTTCATTTTTTCAGACATGTTCAGACGTCTACCACCTCGGCAGGTCAGCATATGTCAGCATAATTACAATTGGGATCAATTGGGAACCCACGAAATTCCCACTGCCATGATCGATGGCTCAGCCGAGGCATGGCACCCTAGTGCAAGCCCGACAAGGACTTTGGCATGTTGCAGGACCTTCGGGACAACCGACGTTCAGCCATCAAACATGCGCTTTTTTGAGATAGGACATAGGAAAAAAAAAAAGCATTGCGAAAATACATGAAAATACCAAACTGTCAAAGAGTCGGATATCTTGAGAGAAATGCAAATCAAAGATGGAGACATGCACAACAACACAATATGCCACCTGTGCAGAAGTTCAATGCCGCAATGCCATTTCTTGTGTTCTCTTGATCAAGTTCAAACTGTTCAAACATCAAGTTCGACGTCGTTCGAAGTGCCGGAGAATGCCGGGGACCCTGCCCAAAGACACATGTTGAGACACGTTGAGTTCGGGACTGGACGCAGGATTGCCAGGCACTGCTGTGGATCGAAATTCGTTTCTTGCCTCAGGACACGTTGATGCTGCGTTGATGCATTGGAAGATATTGGAAGACTCTAAGGGATCCAAAGGATCTAAGGGATCTAAGAGATCTAAGATGCACCTGGTGAAACCCAATGCTCTGAGAAATGCACGACTTGCAATGAGATTGCTGGGCATCACCACCTGCGGAGAGTATGAATATGTATGGATAGGGTGATGGTTGGATCATGTTGGGTCAAACAGTATAGTTGATATATAGTTGATGCTACAATATACAATCAAGGCCTATGCAAGGGAATATCCATGAATATCCCCACAAAATATTGCCTTATATGGTACAGTAATGTGCAGTACCTCCAATATTCATGGGGGATGATATTTTTGCTCTAGGGCTCCAGCAATGATGTTGTGAATCGGCCTGAGCACCACGAGGCGGTGCTAGTGTGTAAAAGGCGCCCAGTCTCGAAACAACAGGATATATATATATACAGTACATTGTCATTGCATCATTACATAATATTATAATATAACATAGACCCGGGCAAGCCGGCGGCGGAAGTTTCCCAAACATAAATGACCTATAGTTCAAAGACAACCTGTCCCGACCGTGTCCTTCACTCGACAAGCGGCTTTTTTTTCAGCGAGAGACGAAGCAAAGTCTTCGCACTCCACACTTCACACTGCACTCTTCGCACTCGAAACTTCACACTTCACACTCCACACTTCGCACTCGAAACTTCACACTCCACACTTCACACTTCACACTCCACACTTCACACTTCTCACTTCTCACTGCTGCCTTCACACTCCAAACCTCACACTTCACACTTCACACTGCGCTCTTCGCACTCCAAACTTAAACTTCACTCTCCACACTTCACACTCCACACTTCACACTTCACAGTTCACACTTCTCACTTCCCACTGCTTCCTTCTCACTTCGCACTTCACACTCCACACTTCACAGTCCACACTTCACAGTCCACACTTCACAGTCCACACTTCACAGTCCACACTTCACACTTCACACTTCACACTCCACACTTCACACTTCACACTTCACAGTCCACACTTCACACTTCACACTTCACAGTCCACACTTCACACTTCTCACTTCTCACTGCTTCCTTCACACTCCAAACTTCACACTCCAAACTTCACACTTCGCACTTCACACTCCACACTTCACACTTCCCGCTTCACAGTCCACACTTCACACTTCTCACTTCTCACTGCTTCCTTCACACTCCAAACTTCACACTTCACACTTCTCACTTCGCACTTCACACTTCACAGTCCACACTTACCACTTCTCACTGCTTCCTTCACACTCCAAACTTCACACTTCTCACTTCGCACTTCACACTCCACACTTCACAGTCCACACTTCACACTTCTCACTTCTCACTGCTGCCTTCACACTCCAAACCTCACACTTCACACTTCACACTCACTCTTCGCACTCCAAACTTAAACTTCACACTCCACACTTCACACTTCTCACTTCCCACTGCTTCCTTCACACTGTACACTTCACACTGCACTCTTCACACTCCACACTTCACACTGCACTCTTTGCACTCCAAACTTCACACTCCACACTTCACAGTCCACACTTCACACTTCTCACTTCTCACTGCTTCCTTCACACTCCAAACTTCACACTTCACACTTCACACTGCACTCTTCACGCCCCACACTTCACACTGCACTCTTCACACTCCACACTTCATCTCATCTGAGCTCTTCTCACCTTATCCCAGCTCATCTCTTCTCATCTCGTCCCTTCTCATAATTTATCTATTAAGCTTTCATTAATCAATTCCCAGCACTACTACTAATCACTGTCGACCCCTTGATGCACCCACTCCAATACGATTTACGAAGTCCAGCTGCAAAAGACAATAGTATTGCGCATGCAGCCGCGGCACCAAGCAACCTTGACGCAGCCATCACAATGCGATCTGCAGAGACTGAGTTGCGAAAACAATAGAACTACGCGCAACTGGGTCGGAAATTGTAGCTCCAAAACCGGATTTCGACGCCAAAGCGAAAAAAAGACGATTTTGAAGCACTTTTTAAAAGGATTTTTAGAAGGAAAATCACTAGCGCCAAAATGGAGAAAATCTGCTGACAAATCACTGTCGCAGCCTTCATGCAGCCACTCCAATACGATTTACGAAGTCCAGCTGCAAAAGACAATAGTATTACGCATGCAGCCGTGGCAAGAAGCAACCTTGACGCAGCCATTAATTACAATGCGATCTGCAGAGACTGAGTTGCAAAGCACAATAGAAATACGCGCAACTGGGTCGGAAATTGCAGCTCCAAAACCGGATGGATCTCGACGCCAGAGCGAAAAAAAGACGATTTTGAAGCACTTTTTAAAAGGATTTTTAGAAAGAAAATCACTGGCGCCAAAATGGAGAAAATCTGCTGACAAATCACTGTCGCAGCCTTCATGCAGCCACTCCAATACGATTTACGAAGTCCAGCTGCAAAAGACAATAGTATTGCGCATGCAGCCGTGGCAAGAAGCAACCTTGACGCAGCCATTACTATGCGATCTGCAGAGACTGAGTTGCGAAACACAATAGAAATACGCGCAACTGGGTCGGAAATTGCAGCTCCAAAACCGGATGGATCTCGACGCCAGAGCGAAAAAAAGACGATTTTGAAGCACTTTTTAAAAGGATTTTTAAAAAGAAAATCGCTGGCGCCAAAATGGAGAAAATCTGCTGACAAATCACTGTCGCAGCCTTCATGTAGCCACTCCAATACGATTTACGAAGTCCAGCTGCAAAAGACAATAGTATTACGCATGCAGCCGTGGCAAGAAGCAACCTTGACGCAGCCATCACAATGCGATCTGCAGAGACTGAGTTGCAAAGCACAATAGAAATACGCGCAACTGGGTCGGAAATTGCAGCTCCAAAACCGGATGGATCTCGACGCCAGAGCGAAAAAAAGACGATTTTGAAGCACTTTTTAAAAGGATTTTTAGAAAGAAAATCACTGGCGCCAAAATGGAGAAAATCTGCTGACAAATCACTGTCGCAGCCTTCATGCAGCCACTCCAATACGATTTACGAGATCCAGCTGGAAAAGACAATGGTATTACGCATGCAGCCGCGGCACCAAGCAACCTTGACGCAGCCATTACTATGCGATCTGCAGAGACTGAGTTGCGAAACACAATAGAAATACGCGCAACTGGGTCGGAAATTGCAGCTCCAAAACCGGATCTCGACGCCAAAGCGAAAAAAAAGACGATTTTGAAGCACTTTTTAAAAGGATTTTTAGAAAGAAAATCACTGGCGCCAAAATGGAGAAAATCTGCTGACAAATCACTGTCGCAGCCTTCATGCAGCCACTCCAATACGATTTACGAGATCCAGCTGGAAAAGACAATAGTATTACGCATGCAGCCGTGGCAAGAAGCAACCTTGACGCAGCCATTAATTACAAGGCGATCTGCAGAGACCAAGTTGCAAAACACAATAGAACTACGCGCAAACACAGTTGAAACCCCATTTACAATGCGGAACCGATCGGAGACCGATCCGAGAATGATCCGACCACACACGAGACCGTCTCGCACCCGTCGCACCGCAAAGGTAGATCATCGACGTTCGGGGACGCACTTTGTATCGAAAAACATAGGGTTTCGTGCATCTGCTATCTCTCAAAAACGCATTTCGTGCGAGACTTCCTTCAAAACTCCATCGGCAACTCATCCACCAGCACCATTTGCAATCCCATTTACATTGCGGGAACGATCCTACAGTTGCAAATCACAATGGAATTATTCTGTCGACCGCGCATGCACGAAAAACACTTGAAACCCCATTTACAATGCGGAACCGATCCGAGACCGATCCGAGAATGATCCGAGAATGATCCGACCACACACGAGACCGTCTCGCACCCGTCGCACCGCAGAGGTAGATCATCGACGTTCGGGGACGCACTTTGTCTGGAAAAACATAGGGTTTCGTGCATCTGCTATCTCTCAAAAACACATTTCGTGCGAGACTTCCTTCAAAACTCCATCGGCAACTCCTCCACCAGCACCACATGCAATCCCATTTACAGTGAGGGAACGATCCTAGAGTTGCAAATCACAATGGAATTCCATCGGCAACTCCTCCACCAGCACCACTTGCAATCCCATTTACAGTAAGGGAACGATCCTACAGTTGCAAATCACAATGGAATTTTGTCGACCGCACATGGACGAAACACAGTTGAAACCCCATTTACAATGCGGAACCGATCCGAGACCGATCCGAGAATGATCCGAGACCGATCCGACCACACACGAGACCGTCTCGCAACCGTCGCACCACAGAGGTAGATCATCGAGGTTCGGGGACGGACTTTGTATGGAAAAACATAGGGTTTCATGCATCTGCTATCTGTCAAAAACGCATTTCGTGCGAGACTTCCTCCAAAACTCCATCGGCAACTCCTCCACCAGCACCACTTGCAATCCCATTTGCAGTGAGGGAACGATCCTACAGTTGCAAATCACAATGGAATTCTGTCGACCGCACATGGACGAAACACAGTTGAAACCCCATTTACAATGCGGAACCGATCCGAGACCGATCCGAGAATGATCCGAGACCGATCCGACCACACACGAGACCGTCTCGCACCCGTCGCACCGCAGAGGTAGATCATCGACGTTCGGGGACGCACTTTGTCTGGAAAAACATAGGGTTTCGTGCATCTGCTATCTGTCAAAAACGCATTTCGTGCGAGACTTCCTCCAAAACTCCATCGGCAACTCCTCCACCAGCACCACTTGCAATCCCATTTGCAGTGAGGGAACGATCCTACAGTTGCAAATCACAAAGGAATTCTGTCGACCGCACATGGACGAAACACAGTTGAAACCCCATTTACAATGCGGAACCGATCCGAGACCGATCCGAGAATGATCCGAGACCGATCCGACCACACACGAGACCGACCGTCTCGCAACCGTCGCACCGCAGAGGTAGATCATCGAGGTTCGGGGACGGACTTTGAATGGAAAAACATAGGGTTTCATGCATCTGCTATCTGTCAAAAACGCATTTCGTGCGAGACTTCCTCCAAAACTGCATCGGCAACTCCTCCACCAGCACCACTTGCAATCCCATTTACAGTGAGGGAACAATTTCTTTGCTAACTCTTTCTGTGACTAACTCTTTTCCTCACTAACTCTTTCTTTGACTAACTTGTTTCTTTGCTAAACTCTTTCTTTGACTACCTCATATATCCTGACTAACTCTTTCTTTGACTAACTCTTTCCCTCACTAACTCTTTCTTTGACTGACTCTTTCCCTCACTAACTCTTTCTTTGACTAACTCTTTCCCTCACTAACTCTTTCTTTGACTAACTCTTTCCCTGACTAACTGTTTCTTTGACTAACTCTTTGTTTGACTAACTCTTTCTTTTGACTAACTCTTTCCCTGACTAACTGTTTCTTTGACTACCTCTTTGTTTGACTAACTCTTTCCCTCACTAACTCTTTCTTTGACTAACTCTTTCCCTGACTAACTGTTTCTTTGCTAACTCTTTCCCTCACTAACTCTTTCCCTCACTAACTCTTTCTTTGACTAACTCTTTCCCTGACTAACTGTTTCTTTGCTAACTCTTTCTTTGACTAACTCTTTCCCTCACTAACTCTTTCTTTGACTAACTCTTTCCCTGACTAACTCTTTCTTTGACTAACTCCTTCCCTGACTAACTATTTCTTTGCTAACTCTTTCTTTGACTAACTCTTTCCCTCATTAACTCTTTCTTTGACTAACTCTTTCCCTGACTAACTGTTTCTTTGCTAACTCTTTCTTTGACTAACTCTTTCCCTCACTATCTCTTTCTTTGACTAACTCTTTCCCTGACTAACTCTTTCTTTGACTAACTCTTTCCCTGGCTAACTGTTTCTTTGACTAACTCTTTCTTTCACTAACTCTTTCTTTGACTAACTCTTTCCCTGACTAACTGTTTCTTTGCTAACTCTTTCTTTGACTAACTCTTTCCCTGACATTCTAAAAGTCCGTAACACGGAAGTTTCTCCCCCTAAACTTCCTTTGATAATATCAGAATAATACATTACCTGGAACACCGTATGATCATTTTTTCAGTTGTTTGACCGAATACTTCCGAATTTGGAGAAATTACATTTTTTGGTCATATGCCCATATTTGGCAGTATTTGGCGACAAGTGGTTTGAAGAATATTGATAAATATTGGAAACATATTGAAAAATATGAAAATATATTGAAAAGTTGCAAGGTTGTACAATATTGAAAAGATCTTGAACAATATTGAAAAATATTGGAAACCTATTGGAAAAATATTCGTGTCATGATTAATTACCCCCGATGCGTGCAACTTAGAATTCGAAACTTTGGCATATATGCCGTATGACCAAAAAAATTGTCATATGCGAAATGACCACAAAAATTCAGTCGTTTGGGGGCCCCGGTAATAATATATAGTAAATTATAGAAATATTACATGTTCCTCCTTCAACTTATTCAAGTGCGAGAAGCGACTGAGCGATGGATGTTACGATTTACATCGATTTACGATCTCACAGTGAACTTATCTGGTAAGGCCCCCGCCCAACACACACGCCAGTGTATCCTCTCATTGCAGTATGCACCGCATCTCGCGCTAACCTGCCAATGCGTCCATGGGCTGAGACATGTGCATCATGTGCTGAGCTGCTAAACGGCCTGGAGCAATAGATGTGGTCATTTGGTCGGATAACGACCTTAGGGCAAACATGGGAAACATGTGGCACTCCATGTACAAACTTACAGAACCAGTGTTCCATTATGTCCCATCTGCGTGCTGTCGCAAAATGCAGCTGAACAATGCTGAAGATAGAACTCATAGAACTCATAGAACATAGTTGAACATTTTTTGAGCTTGTGACAGAGCGGATGATGTAGGATGGATCAATGTAAAAGGATCGGCCTTAGACAGTTTGCTCTGCAAATCTCCAACAAATGCTGTCCACATGGCCAGTCTCCAAGGATCGGCCGTTGGGTAAGCTATGCTGAGTCTGGTTCCGCCGCTGACCTTGAGGTGGGAATTCACGGAGTCCTCCACAGCAAATGCTGTGAAGTATCAACTTCAGCTCGAACAGGTTACACAATGTTACACATATATGTGTATAAGCAGTTGTGAATCTCAATGAATCTCAGGCACCTTCAAGTATGTGCCAATGTCTCCATACACGGTGTGGCCAGTCCTAGAAATGGAGGAAAATCGGAGGAAAACAGAAGACCCAAAGAATCCCATGAAGCTCGTGGAAGATTTTCAACATGCTGAAAAGGCGAGGCCAAAAACCGTGTTGTGGTAAACCATGGTAAACTCAATAATCGAACTCCAATGGGGGGATGACTGTGGTATTGTTATGTATTGTTACTCATTATGAAATATGTTAATTTAGTACTTCATAGGTTTACACATGCCTCCCATGACCCAAAAAATGATAACCATATAACCAGATGATACGACACTCAAAGACCAAGGCCGCTGCGAATCAGTCTTTCCAGTCGCCACGAACTTTTGTCCCGCACCTTCTGCCACAGCAATGACCATGAAGTCCTGGAGAGATCTGCAGAGAGGGCTGGGCATGGCTGGGCGCATGGCTGGGCGAGAAGTCTCCACAAGGCGCCCGTCACCAACTTTACCAGTGAAAGTAGGACATAGTAGGACTATAGGGGATAGAAATAGATAGAAATAGTAAGATTAACTTAGCATTAATAAACCATAATAAGCCATTTAATGATATTTAATGAAAAATACAGTATCGAAGATAACTTTCAAAGGCATTGCGTGAAATGCGGCAACCTCCTTGGAACCCAACTCGTGCATCTGGCCAGGCCTTTCGTGCCAAAGTTTGATCAACGTGCTTCAAGACTTCGGCCATCCTGAAGCAGGGAAATCATCAGCAACATGGAGCAACAAAGCCGGCAGCATGGCAGCATGGCGGCAAAACTGAGAGGGCTGCTCAACGTCTACCTGCTCAAGAACTGCAACGACATGTTTTCACAATAAGTTATTACATCCTTGGAACATATGACTTTTTGCAAGGCACTTTTACATAATATCATTTGATATTCGTCCGTTTACAACGACAATGCGCACTTCTTTTCATGGACAATATGGACATCAATCTTCTCCGTCAGTGTTCTGTTCTGTTCTAGTCACGTCCAAGGCCTCTGGAATCATCACCAGATCAACAATGGTAGATGCCAACGCGGCATGCATGGCCACAAATCCTGCGTCGCGTCCTGGCTCTCAGATCTCAGATCAGGTTTTGGCATGTGGCGAATTGATGCGAATTGTAGCGATCGTGGCAGGTGATGGTGATGGCTTGTGATATTTTGTCAACGCTGCGGTCCCATGAGCTTCACAATTCCAACTCCCTTGGAACAACCTTAGAACAGGGCAGCATATGCGCGGCATATGCACAGCAGCGCGGCAGCGGCTAAGCCGTTCGGTGAAGCGTCCCAAGCTGTCCCAAAAGTCAGTTGGGTTCAGTTGGGCGGTAAGGTTCCGCTGTCATATCTTTCAGTGTTAGTGCCAGCTAAAGAAGCTGGATACAAAGATGGGAACGCGAGAGCGACTTTATATTGAGCTTTGCTGTATTTTAAGATATTTTAAGCATGTCAAATATGCATAAATCTGTCAATTCAAAAAGCTCTGACCTGAACCTGAGAAGGGGGGAACGAAAGCCAGCATCCCATCTACCCCTATTTTCCACCATACTTTTCACCCAGAGACTCTTCAAAACATTTCGCCCATATACTTTTCACCCAGAGATTCTTCACCCAGAAACTCTTCTTGCACATACTTTTCACCCAAATACTTTTCACGAAGAGACTCTTCACCCAGAATTTTTGCTTGCACATACATTTCACCCATATACTTTTCACCCAAAGATTCTTCACCCAGAAACTCTTCTTGCACAGACTTTTCACCCAGAGACTCTTCACCCAGAAACTCTTCTTGCACATACTTTTCACCCAAATACTTTTCACGAAGAGACTCTTCACCCAGAATTTTTGCTTGCACATACATTTCACCCATATACTTTTCACCCAGAGATTCTTCACCCAGAAACTCTTCTTGCACAGACTTTTCACCCAGAGACTCTTCACCCAGAAACTCTTCTTGCACATACTTTTCACCCATATACTTTTTACCCAGAGACTCTTCACCCAGAAACTCTTCTTGCACATACTTTTCACCCATATACTTTTCACCCACTCTTCACCCAGAAACTCTTCTTGCACAGACTTTTCACCCAGAGACTCTTCACCCAGAAACTCTTCGTGCGCATACTTTTCACCCATATACTTTTTACCCAGAGACTTTTCACCCAGAAACTCTTCTTGCACATACTTTTCACCCATATACTTTTCACCCAGAGACTCTTCACCCAGAAACTCTTCTTGCACATACTTTTCACCCATATACTTTTCACCCAGAGACTCTTCACCCAGAAACTCTTCTTGCACATACATTTCACCCATATACTTTTCACCCAGAGATTCTTCACCCAGAAACTCTCCTTGCACAGACTTTTCACCCAGAGACTCTTCACCCAGAAACTCTTCTTGCACATACTTTTCACCCATATACTTTTTACCCAGAGACTCTTCACCCAGAAACTCTTCTTGCACATACTTTTCACCCATATACTTTTCACCCAGAGACTCTTCACCCAGAACCTCTTCTTGCACATACTTTTCACCCATACACTTTTCACCCAGAGACTCTTCACCCAGAAACCCTTCTTGCACATACTTTTCACCCATATACTTTTCACCCACTCTTCACCCAGGAACTCTTCTTGCACGTGCATTTCATCCATATACTTTTTACCCAGAGATTCTTCACCCAGAAACTCTCCTTGCACAGACTTTTCACCCAGAGACTCTTCACCCAGAAACTCTTCTTGCACATACTTTTCGCCCATATACTTTTTACCCAGGAACTCTTCACCCAGAAACTCTTCTTGCACATACTTTTCACCCAGATACTTTTTACCCAGGAACTCTTCACCCAGAAACTCTTCTTGCACAGACTTTTCACCCAGAGACTCTTCACCCAGAAACTCTTCTTGCACATATAATGGTCCCACATCGGAGCCTTAATTTTTCCATTGTGCTTCCATCCCATCAATTTCTGTCATTTTACTCTTATTTTACTTGGCATCATTTTGGTCCCACATCAGAGCCGCAATTTTTCCATTGTTTTTTCCATTGTTTTACTCCACTTCTTCATCATAGTCCCTCGATTTTTCCATTGCTTTTCCATCGCTAATGGTCTCACATCGAAGCCACATTTTTTCCATTGCTTTTCCATAGTTTTACTCGACATCATTTTCCCCTCCATTCCAGTCTCCCCAGTGTTGTTTTCACAGTTTTTCCTCCAGTTTTACTCAATCGTCCCATAGTTTACGCTATCAATTTATCCTTCCATCTCATCAATTTTTCCAGTGTTTTGCCATGGTGCTACTCGATTTCTCCATCATTACCCTTATATTATCTCAGTGTGTCTAACGCTTACCCAAATGCACCTCCCACAATCCCTACCGTTGCACCGTATAAACGGTTTTGCTCGTTTCTTCCATGGTTTATTTCCGCGCTTCTACTCCATAGTGGTCGCACGTCGAAACCGCAATTTTTCCATTGCTTTTCCATTGTTTCACGCGTGCTTTACGCGATAATGGTCCCACATCGGAGCCTCAATTTTTCCATTGTTTTTCCACCCCATCAATTTCCATCCTTTTACTTTTATTTTATACTTGGCATCATTTTCCAAGCGTTCTACTCAAATTTTCCATTCTTTTCCCATTGTTTTATGCCATATTCCCTCATTTTTTCCATTGTTTTTCTCATCATTTTCCCCTCCATTGCAATCTCCCCAAGTCCAGCTCGGAGGGCGGACCAGGGGGGAATCGATACCCCACCGTCACCCAATTGCCACCTGGTACATAACCCTAAAAAAGTTTACCTCGGTCCACCTTTTTTACCACCTAATTTCGCGATTTTTGATCCGTTAGGGGCGCTCTGCCCCCAGACCCCCTAAACTCACTTTGTTAAAAAAAAAACTTCGCCTAGCCTAGCGGCTGGCTCTTCTTGCACAGACTTTTGACCCATATACTTTTCACCCAGAAACTCTTCACCCAGAATTTTTTCTTGCACATACATTCACCCATATAATTTTCACCCAGAGATTCTTCACCCAGAAACTCTTCTTGCACATACTTTTCACCCATATACTTTTCACCCAACAAAAACAAGGGCGCAGCGCCTCCCCCCCAAAGCAGATTGGAAACACCTATACTTAGAGATACATACTTATATAATATATATATATGTATATATACATATTAACATATATATATATAAGTACATGTATAAATACAAATATAAAAATATAAATGTATATATATATAATAAATAAATATAAATATGTGTGTATATATAGAAATGCATAAATATAAATATGTATATATATATATGATTTTGAACATTAAAAGTAACAATATGTATATATAAGTATATATATATAAATCAAAAATATAGATATAAATAAATTGCAGTATAAATTATATATATATATTATATATATACAACAAAAAACAATAAAAGCAACGAAGCAAAGAAAAGCAATAAAAGCAAAAAAGCAAAGAAAAGCAAGAAAAGCAAAAAAGCAAAGAAAAGCAAAAAAGCAAAGAAAAGCAAAGAAAAGCAAAGAAAAGCAAAAAAGCAAAGACAGCAAAAAAAGCAAGAAAAGCAAAAATCAAAGAAAAGCAAGGAAAGCAAAAAAAGCAAAAAAGCAAAGAAAAGCAAGAAAAGCAAAAAAGCAACAAAAGCAAAGAAGCACTGCAATAGGCAATAGAGTAACCAGGAAGAAATCCAAAAAAAATTCCCTAAACTAAAAAAAAAAACAAATAAATGGCCCTCCATAGACTATCATAGACTCATGAAAAAATCGAGGGAGTTGCGAACAGCAACAGATCTTTTTCAAGTGGACATCCACCTTTGACATGCGTTCCGTTTCACATGTTCCTCATGTTGTGTGCGCTCTTCCCACCGATTACGCGGTGCTTTGCTGGAACTCCCCTGGCCAAAGACAAGAAATTGTTTATCCAATATTTTCCAATTCTGGTGAAGATGGATTAGGCTGGAAATATCAACTCAACCCATTGATTTTTGGCTTCAGAGATGACAAGGAACACAGTCTTTCGGCAGAGATAAAACTTTGTCCAGTCCTGACAGCCAAGTCATTGAGCAAGCGCAAAGCCACTTGAGGTCTGCAACTGGTGATAAATTAGTCCAAATGATGATAACGTATTCATGGGAAATTAGATAGAACTAAAAAACAAAAACACACGGGAACGTGCAACAACCTAAGAAACCACATCTGGCCAAACAAGTACCAGTTGAGAGAGTTGGTTTAATGACAACATAACTCCGCAAAAAATGCTTCAGTGGCATTCAAGACTGTTTGATTGCATCATTGCATACGTGTACAAACCTAATAAACAAACCTCTTCGATTTTTTGAGCATCTTTTGAAAAATCACCAGCCTTCCCGTTGGTTCAAACATAATTCCCAATCATGACGGTGACAACGTGTAACAACACGTGACAACGCCATTTTGAATGCTTACTAGTCACCATGTGATGCCGTTGCACAATAAACAATTTTGGCGGTATTGCAAACTAAAACCAGATTACGCTCACTCACAAGTTACAAATAAACATAGACAAACCATGTCTCAACTTTTCGGGGCGAATTTTCCCTATGTCAAGTTCCCCAAAATCCCAGGCACAGCCGGCACCACATTGGTCTCGATCCCTTGCGCCGCTTTCCCCATCTCCAAACATCGCCACCGCCCCGCGATGGCCCTGTGGTTACACCACGACCATGGCAGCGCTACCTGGAGGCCAAGCTGGATTGGATGATAGGTCCGGGTTTTTTCAAAAAGAGAAATATTAGTCTTGTTGGTGACTCGTGCCGTGAAGGATAAAAACTCGAGGAAATTCATGCCTTACTCAATTTTACCATCCAAGGACTGGGTTCATCCCACGAATCGACCAAAGATGATCAAAGATGTACTGACAAACAAGTGAACTGGACGGGTCAGGGTGGTGACTGTTCTTCAGGGATCATGGTGTCCTCTGTGTCCTCGACAATGCGGTTGGAAGGATGCGAAAAGGAAGAATCCAGCATGTGAGGAAAGTGCGAGGG